AAATATCCATAACCTCACCAGTTTCATTGGTGACAGAAGACGATGATTAAACATTAAAAAAAAAAAAAGAGTTAATTAAAAAGAGTTAAATGTAAAAAATTTTATTTTAATAAAAATATAAGTAAAATAGGAACAGTTAAAAAAAATCATTTTAATTAATTAACTCTTTCACATATTGCACGTATTTCTCCATACAAAAGTAAGGTAACACCCAACGGTTATCTAGATTGTTGCCTTTAATTTTAATAACCAACCCATTATCACGACACCTATATCGTGGGTAACCATTGTGAACATCTACTGCGTAGTCAATAAATTCTTTAGGATAATTTTTGCTGCACACCCCATCTTTAATGCAGGGAAAATTAGAATTCAGTATCCCATATGGACCATGAATCATGCAAGTTTTAATAATATCATAAAGGTCATGATTAACAATCGGATCTGGAATTTCTCTACATATTAAATTATTGATATTCTGTGCTGTTTCAAGTTTATCATCATTGGCTAAATGAAGTAAAATGTGGGCATGCGGCAAACCACGCTTTTGAAACTCAATAACCTGAACATGCGTTACAACTTTGCTCAATACACCATGTTTGATTATATCATTAAGGAGGTTATTTAATTTGAGTTTAAATACTCTAGTAACAAAATTAGGTCTATAATTCGCAGTCTGACCCGGATATAAATTTTTTGTTATTTAACGCCATTTTGGGTTTCAAGTAAAAATAATATAAATATCTGGTTTACCTTACTTTTTAATAATTGCCATAGCATCTTCAAAAAATTTTTAAAAAAGCTCTAGGACTTTCTACATAAGATGAAGGCAAAACTACTACTCACCCTAAAATAGCAAAACTACTACTCGCCCTAGGATAAAACATAGGAGATAAGTTGGCTGACATACTTGATACAATTTTTAAAGGATGACCTCATGGGTAAATAATTACACTCCTGGGAATTGGGGGAGCACCATCTTCACCAACAAATACAATAGCAACTTCATCATGTGAAGGTAAATTATAGCGACGTCTATCACCCCCATCAAGTAAAGACATTTTTACAACTGAGACTGAGCGACCTTCTATATCTGCTTGACGAACTTCTTCATCTTTTACTCCAGCCATGTTTTTAAATGCAAAAGCAAATGGACTTTGTTCAGTAATTATAGTTTGCAAATGAAACATTAAATCACGTAAACAAAGATCATTACCACGTTATTGCATTCTAAAGTTTACTGCTGCAAGTGGATCATAAATATAAAGTTAAGAATATATTGGTGGAATATCTTGATCTCGCCTAAGATTACATACACGATGATAAACTTGGCCACATATTTTAAAATATGGAGGCCCATGATTTATTGGTTGAACTACATCTGCTTTAAAAGTAGCAAAAGAAAGAAAGACATTGTAGTTTTGAATATGTTTTAAAAAATTAACATTAGCATTACGATCTACATAATTCCCTGTAAATAAATTCTGTAAAACTTGTGTAAATGGTGAAAGTAGGGGCAAAATTACCTTACCATTATGGCAACATAGAGAATGTTTTTCATCTTGAAACTTTTTAGCACCACAGTGCTGACAAATTTGATTCATTTCTCCTAAGTAATTATAATCTAGAATAGCATTACTTCTTGCTATAAAATTCATTCTTTCGTGTCTAGCAGCATATCTAGCATTTGGTTGATTATTAATTTCATCTCGCCTCCGCCAATTACTTGCATTTCTGCAACTATTATTTTCAACTTGCCTAATCACACTGTCCTCATTTTGATTCGAGTTATTTGCAGCTTGCCGTACAGCATATCTAGCATTTCGTTAATTATCAATTTCATCTCGCCTCAGCCAATATACATACATACATACGTACATACATACATACATACATACATACATACATACATACATACATACATACATACATACATACATACATACATACATACATACATACATACATACATACATACATACATCCATCCATACATACATACATACATACATACATACATACATACATACATACATACATACATACATACATACATACATACATACATACATACATACATACATACATACATACATACATACATACATACATACATACATACATACATACATACATATATACATACATGCATACATACATACATACATACATACATACATACATACATACATACATACATACATACATACATACATACATACATACATACATACATACATACATACATACATAAATACATACATACATACATACACACATACATACATACATACTTCTTGCATTTCTGCGACGAATATTTTCATCTTGCCTACTAACACTTCTATCTTTTTCTAAACTAATAGTCACTTCTAGCCTTATATCATCTATTAAAACTTCATTTTTAATTAATAGTTGTAACAAAAAATCTTGAAAGAATTTTGAAGATTGTGATCTTTTTTTTTTACTACTCTAAATGCACGCATATAAAGAATAATTTTTAAAACATTACATAGGATATTTTCATTTAAAATAAACTAAATTATACAATAATATTGTGAGTTATTTATAAAAACATTTTTATAAATATATCAGTTGAAAAATGTTTAAACAAAAAATAAACTTATAAATATAATGTAAATAAAAAAATCAACTAATAGTAATAAAAAAAAATTATAATAATAAAAATTTTAATGATAAAGGGTACTGTTAATACAAAAAGTAGAAGACAAAGAAAATAAAATAAAAAGTAAAGTATTTGTAAACCCCTTTTTGTAAACTTTAATATTATTTCTATAAAAAAAAATGTATAAAACACATGCAAATAATTAACCTTCACAAACAATGACTGTTCAAAAGTTGCAATTTAATTTGTTTTTCTAAATTCTAAAGGAAAGAAAAAATTTAGCAGTATCACTAAAATGCCAATAATATAATAAGCAACATGACAAAGTTTATCAAAGATTAGTTATCTGTTTTCTTTTTTTTTTATTATTTAATCTTTTTTCAATATTTTATATTTTTTATTACACATTAAAATCAGAAGATTAAGTTTATTAAAGCTTTACATAAGTTAAAAGCAGCTATAAACACTAAATTATTAAATTCAAAACGATCAAAAGAAATAAAATCTGCTTGAAATCAACAAATTAGTTTAAAATTAAAACTTTAAAATATTACGAATATGAATGTGATTTTTGTTACAGTTAATAAACTGCTATAGTACATTTTTCAAATCTGATTAACTGATATGGTATATATTCTCAGCAATATAACCGACATGTTATAATGTGAATCAAAAATTAAAGTAATAAAAACTATAAATAATAATCTAAACACATACCAAAAAAAAAAATAAAAACAAACATAATTTAGAATATATATATTTTTTAATGAAAATAAAACACCAAGAAAAAAACAGCAACAAAAAAATTGTTAATAAGTTCACTGATTAAAGATATTAAAATTCTTTTATTGCTATTTTGTACTTGGTGTCTCCCAGCACCTCTGTATGAATGAGCCCTCCATTTGCATCCTCTGTATGGATGAGCCATCCAACACAAACAATAAAAAAACATGTTACATTATTATAAAAGCATATTGATAAAAAAAGCTATAAAGCACATTTTACAATACACTCATAATTATCAAAAAAGCAATTCAAACAATAAACATATAACTTGAATTTTTTCATAAGAACTGAAACTCTCATAACAAAAATTTATACTCTACATACAATAACATTTGATATGTCAGTGTTGGCAAGAAATTTTATTTTATTTTTTTAAATTTTCTTAAAAAGAGCAAAAACAGTTAATAGCATCACAAAAACTTCATGGTAGTATTAACCATTTTTATTGAAATAGCATTAGTGTAACTTTTATGTTGCATAAAAAACAAATAGACCTCATACATACCTCTATCTTCCTTCTAAAAAATAGAAGATATGCTCAATAAAAACAAAACTGCTAGAAAAAAATAAAGCCAAAAGAGAAACTTTAACAAACAAAATGTAAATGTTTTTCAAAATTAAAAAGAGTGATCTTTTCTACTATGTTTCTAATAAAAATGTTATATATAAATTGCTAAACTAATTTCTACACTTACTTCAATTATAATATGATATTAACGATGATTATTTATCTTAATATAATTCTTTATGTAATATTTCCAAACTAATAAATAAAAATTCAATAAATAATAATTCAACAAAGGTAAAAGGTTTTAACAAACTTGATAGATCTTTTTTTTATGACGCGTGCATTTTGAGAACGCGCTGTTTCAAGTTCAGAAAAGCCTAGTAACTAATTAAAACTGCTTTAAAAACTAAAGCGAAACGCCATTGAACATTGAAACTTTGCAGTACTAATATTTAGATAGTTGTTTTTATTAAAAAGAGTTATACAATTAAACACGGATTTCCACTTACAAAAGGTTTTCCGGCAAACCGAAAATATCCATTTATCTTCGATAAAAACTTTTAAGTCACATTCAATCATGAGACAAAAAACTTAAATTTGTTTGTCACATAAATTAATGAAATTCTTTTTCGTTCTCTAAACTTCTTGCAATGAAAGTCCGCTTTAACAATATTATTGCATTAAATACCTTATCAAAAACACTATAAATATTTGAATAAGTTAATTCTATTACTAATAATTAGAAACAACAGAGATATAATAAAAACTAAATAAATATTTACATAGATTAACACTAAACTCAAAAAGAAGTTACAAAAATTATTTATTTTATTTTTGTAACCTATAGTTTCTAATAGTTCCAAATATAGGGCACAAATATATTAAACTATAATTGGTAAGTAATTATAATCTAATAGTAACCAATATTAAATTGTGCTTTTTTAATTTACATTGCAAATCTAGAACCATTTTTTAAATTAATTTTCATTTAAATATCAAATAATATTAGTTGTTCAAGTTTTGCGCTAAGTTTTTTTATTCAAATTTTTTATTAAATAAGGTAATAAGATAAACATAAAAAAGTTAAAAAATAATCAATTATCGGTATATTTCTTCCTTTATGTCCATTTTAATAACATCTTTCTATCTTTTAAGTTTGGTCTTTCTGACTTTATTGTAATGTGCAATCTTCATACAATCGATAAACTTTTTAAATAAATCTTTATCAAATATTTGATCAATTGTTTCACTAATTTCATTATCGAGTTTGCTCTCATTTAATATGTAATCAAATCTATTAAATAAATCTTCCATTAATGTGTTCGTTGAATCAACAGCATATAACTCTTTATTTCCCACTAAAAGTAAACAATACTTATAATACAGAACTTAAAAGTAACTTCATTAATGCATAATTATCAAAAAGTATTTAACGTAAACATAGCCGTTTCTTAAATAAAATTGTTTTGTTAAGTCAAACAAGGTTAAATGAAATTAACAGCTCGTAGTGAAAAGAAAATTATATAACGCATTACCTTAGTGGTGTTAGATTTTTGAAGATCGTAAAAAATGTGGACGCAACAGTTAAATACTGACAATTAAATAGCATTTTTCTAAAAGGGAGCTTAGCCCAAATTTTTCCAAGTTTTTTTTTTTTTTAACATTAGGATTCTTTTGTGAAAAAGTATAATATACTGAATAAATTATACTTAATAATAAGTTATACTTACATAACAACAATACTTTCACTTAGATAATAAAGTATACCTATTCCTTTAACAGTCAGTTTTTCTTTTAAATTACGGTTGCTATTAGTTAAGGGTTTGTTTTTTTTTTAATATTTAAATGTCCCGAGTTTTTTTTTTTTTTTTTTAAACTCCAACTTATCAAATTTAAAAATTTTGTTAACTACTTCCAACACTACAAAATGTAACATTTTAAGTTTAAAAATGTATAGTCAAACTATATACATGCAAAATTTATTCAAACTTGAGAGATATTTGGAAAAGCATTAAAATCATTGATATGATTAACAGTGTTCTTAGTTTTAGATTTTTAAACTACTACCCATTTTTATACAAATTATTTGAGCATTGAAAACTGCTCTGAATAATTAAAAGAGTAAATACTTTTTGTACCATTTCTTCATCTTTATAGGATGTCATCGTTTGGTCAAATAGAACCTGTTTTTCTTATAATTCTGCTTGAATTTTAAATAAGTAAATTTATTTTGTAACATTTTGTTTTTAGCCTTTTTTTTTTCAACTTCATTTGTCATCATTTTTCACTTTCATCAACGATGTCATCATTTAGTTGTTTTATTTGTCGCTTTTTTCCCATAATGTCATCATTTATTTGCTTTTACCAATGCCTCCCATACTTTGGTTGAAAACATCGATAACTTAAGGAACCTGCTTTTTTTATCAGTTTTTTATTACATTCTACATATCAAACTTGAACCTTTTTAAATTTTGTATTTGTAACATACCATAAACCTTCTCTGAGCATTCGTATTTTTTTCAGAGCTGATACAAATTTAAAAAAAATGTTGATTATTTATTAATATGGGGTTGTTTGCTACAAATCTAGAATAGATTTTATTGGCTCCTGACCCTATAGTTAAATTATTGATATGACTAACAGTGTTATAAAGTTTAGAGATTTGAAATTATGTCCCATATTTTACAAATTGTTTTCATTATTTCAGTAAGCATTGAAAACTTCTTGAAATATTAAATGAGTAAATACTTTTTGCACCACTTCTTAAGCATTTTTCTTTTAACTTTATATGAAAGCCCAAAGCCATGAATGCCACTATATATGAGGATGCTACTTTTTACTTGTGATTACATTCCTCTCTCAACTGAATAACTTCAAAACACGAATCTTGAAGAACACGGCCGTTGCGCAGAGAAACAAGTTGAGCACGGTACTATTGGGGACATGGTGGGAATTGAAATTAAGACTTTTTGCTTATAAACAAGCGTTTAACCATTTTACCATCTAAATAAAGGTCGGTTGAAGGTTGATGAAAAATTAATGTTTCCTTAAAGTTTTGATCTTAAGTTTTCTTATTTTGTGTTTTCCAGAAAAATATACTGTGTTCCTATGCACTAATTTTGTTCTTTTCTTTCAAAGTAAATAAGTTTTGTAAGGGTTCAGGAGATAAACTGATTTTACATTTATACTTAAAAAATAAGGACATTAAAAATATTCAGCTTGTATATACTAAAAACATTCACGTTAACTAAGAAAAGCTTGGCATAAGTAAAACAATCCATAAAATTAATAAGGCGTACAACATGTTGTTGTTGACAATACATGGGTTCAAGTTTACTTTTATTTATATATCTCACGCAAGTTTACTTTTATTTTATTTACCCTACGCAACATTTGCATAACTTAGGTGGCAATGGATAAATGAGTGATGTAGTTGAGTTAAGGTGTGTTTATTTAGGATGTTTCTTGTTTTTTATAATATTTCAATTCTTTTGGATATTTTATTGCCCAAATATTTTATGTGCTTTTTCCATGAGAGATTTTTATCAATATACACGCCTAAAAAGTTGGTCAAGCTTGCTTTTTTGTTTAGACGTTGTCAATAAAAAGAAAAAAAAGTATAACCTTTATACAATTTTTTAAAATTGTAGTTAAACAGAATTTGCTCGACTTAACAAATGCAAACATACTTTTATATTTTTAGTTTTAAAATTTTTTTTTTTTTTTTTACCGTTACTTATTTGTTTTTCTTGCTGTTTTTTTTTTTTTTTTTTTTGCTTTTTACTTTACTTTAGAAGTATTTTTATCTTATTACAATAAAGTTTATATTTATTTGCTTTATATAATGAGTATTTGTATATAATGAGGATAATGACACACAAAAAAAATGTAAATAACTATTATATATTTTATTTTTATATTTTACTTTAGAAGTCTTATTATAGTATAGCTATTTTTAACTTGCTATGATTGTTTATTTTTTTGTTGAAAAAAATTGTAAAGCTAATCTTTTAAATTTCTTCACTTTTATTTTATTTATTTAATTTAGCAAATTTTATTTTATTTTTGATATTTTAACTTGCTTTATATAGTGAATATAAATTACTACATTTTATATATTATGGATACTTTGTAAAAAATAAATCACGCAAATTGTAGGGCCTTGACAACAAGACTTATGTCTTCTACTTGCTCCTGTCATTCTTTATATTTTGATTTATTTTATTAAACTTGAAAACGAGAACATTGTAAAATGCTTATATATGACGAAATAAATAAAATAAATAAAAGACTTAACGAGAGTTATTTTTGTTATAAGTTACGACTGTAACTTTTTTTTTATCCGCAAAAGTGCATATAAATTTGGTAATCCATGGTTATTTGTTGTTTTTTGGTTTAAGATTAGTTTTTATTTTTGGGAAATTTAATTCGTATATTTCAAAGAATTTTTAAAAAAATGTTTTGTAGACTAAGTTTAAATTATCTAGAATTATATTATGTTCCCAATTTAGTAAAGATAGTTGTTCCTTTAATGATATTAAATTTGCTTCATTAAAATAACGTTTAATATGATATTGGTTTGTATGTGGCAAAATTTTAGTAATTATTGGAACTAAGAAATCTCAGAAATTATGCAGTAATAAATTTTGTGACAATTAGACGTATAACTACTGATAAACACAAAAGTGATAAAAAGAGATGCATTAAACCGTAAGATTATATGGCATGGGCATTTAAGAACCACTTTCATTTGGCGTATTTCATTTAGATATTTGAAATAGACATACGGCAAGTACATTTGGAAATCTCATTAAGTTTCCATAATATTACGAGTTGGACTGTTTAGAGGTTATACAATAATGGCGCTTTTAACAAAAAAATACTTTTCCATGTTGGTATGAAAAGCAAAACTGTTCATCACCTTTTAATACGTTTACAAAGTTAATAATACTCAAAAAATACTAGGCCGGATAATTTTTGTTTTTTTTTATTTTTATTAAAACATTAATAATGTTAGAACAATAAAGATTCAGAAAAGCGCTCTTCAATTGATAGTTCAATATCCCGTATTTAAGATATTTAATTATTGTTATCTGGGTTTTTTTCATTATTTAAAAAATTACTATACTTTTTAAACGGCAGGTTGCAGTTTAAAATAAACTTAAGGTTTATTTTACCTTTAAAGACAAAATTAAAAAATCTTACTGATGTTAAATGTTTTTTCGAAAGTAACTCGTGAATATTCTTCACTACATTCTGTTAGACACTCAGCATCGTGCTTTCTTAACCGCTTTTCATCAAATTCTGCAACCTTTATGATATTAGCTTTAGGATGAAGCTTTATTTTTGACTTTTTTTGAGTTAATGTCTGTGGCTTTTTCCGTCTATGTTTAAACCAACCTAATATTTAATCGTAAATGTTAGGCTAAAATTTTTATAAAGTTTTGTTATAAAAATCAAATTAAAAAAGTTATAGCTAACAATTTCTATCAAAATAGTTTATAGAGTTAAAATTACTTTGCGAAAAATTCCATAAACATAATAATAAAAATAGGAAAAAAATGAGTAAATAAATTAATAGGATATAAATATTAAGTTACTATCATGTATTCTTTGCATTAAAAACCATACGCAAATAAAACAAAAAAATTTCAAAAGATATATATCACTATTTTTATGTCATATAAAATATAGATCCTATACAATCCACCTGTTATGATTGTACTAACAGTGAATTCCAAAATATTTTATTTAAAAAAATTACATAGCATATAAAAAACATTAAGGACACCTTTAAAGTGTTCCAATATATAATCAACAATCTCATAATCATTATTTCGGCCCTCAGGATTTGCACGAACCATGCTAAAAGCATCATTTAAAATGGATATGAACATGTTCGTTATGATCCAAGTTACTACAACATTGAAACCAAAAAAGAATATTGGCCCGAGAAAAGTATTAGTGCGTTCATATTCATTAAAATTAAATTTTCCCAACAATAATGAAACAGTAGAAATTATTGCCTTAATGTACGTCTGGTATTCACCCAATAATGCACCTAAAGCAAATTTATTTAAAAATGAAAGTTACATTAAACAAAAAGTTTAAGATAATTGATATTTACTAACAAAAGTAACATAAAATAACAAATTAAAAAAAAAATAATAATAATATAAAATAAAATAAAATAATTAAAATATAACAATAAATAAACTGAATTCTAAATTATTATTTTTTTAAATTTGTTGTTTAGGTGTCCTAAGAAGTCCTAATAGTCTTATCACAGGGCACCGGGGAAGTGCATTTAACAGAAAGTTCACGCATCCTTCCTTAATGTGACGCGAAATATGCCCAAAGCTAGTTTCGAACCTGGATCATCTGCTTTTAAAGCAAGCGCTCTAACCACTACGCCACGGCCACTCAAATAATAAAAAAATATTTTTTTTTTGAATTTTTTGGGAACCATAACATTTACAAAGTATATTCACTTCATTTGGCCAACGTTTAGATTATAAAAAGTAACTATAAGTTAAAATAGGTCAGGTTTACAGTATTTTTTTTAATCATTACTCAGACGTTAAAATTGGAAAAATAATTTATATGTAATAATTTAAACATGGCATTATAATGAAATTATATAGAGCATATTTTATGAATTTAATTTTAAAATAATAAATTAGAAGAAATTTGGCATTTATTCATTATACATTATATATTTATATAGTAGACATGGCGTTGTAATTAAATTATATAGAGCTTACTTTGTGAACTTTATTTTAAAACAATAAATAGGAAGATATTTAGCGACTTAGAAATACCAAGTTGTTTGCATTAACTTTAATAATGTAAAATCATGCTAATTTCAAATCAATATAGCAATAAAAAAAAATGTAATCAAATTTTTAGATTTTTGATTGTTTAATCAAATTGTTTTAAATATAGTTATGTTAAGTCACATATATCATACTCTTCAAACAATAATATAATTATGAATTAAAGTCAGATAAATCATCTTCTAACAATAACAACTAGTACAAGTATATTTAGCACTTCTGAGGTAATTTTTGTAGTTGCTTTTGGTAGATATAGCACAGAGAACTCTATACTCATTAAAAATCAACTTTTTACTGGAACCTGAACTTTAATGGGTTTACTTTATGGTTTAATTTTGATGAGATCGTCAATTAAACGAAAGCTTATCTTTAATGATGCACGTTTCAAAACTAACTTGAAAGTATTAATTAAAACACAACACGCAAAACAACAACAAAACAATAAAGCTCTAAGATAGAAAAAGTCAGTGAATGAACCATTACCAGTGCGTAGTAGCACCGGAGATTGTTTATCTCCATTTTGTAAGAAAAAGTTAAGTAACTGAAAACTATCAAACCAATCTTTACAAAAGATATACACATATATGAAGATGTAAGAAGAAAGTCTGATTCCAAATGAAATTAGAGTTTACATAAAAATGTTTTTTTACATACGACAACAAACACTAACAAGTTGTGGTCAGCTATCGCAAAATAATATTCTAATAGAACTTGCTAAAGTTTTCATATTTTCCGGTAGCTTTGCATATAATCTATAAAATATAAAAATTGATGATAACTATTTTTAGAAGCATATATAATTTATAAGGAATACGCTATAATTTGCAATCACCAAATAAGGAAACAGCTTTTATCATAAACTACCACCTTAGATTTTAAGTAATATATATGCTTATTAATTTATAAAATAAAAAATAAATAAAAATAGTTATTTGTAATCTGTTTTAATGAAAAGTTTTGAATTTTTACAACCTAAATAAATGGTTTTGAAAATAGACCAAACACCGAATTGTTAAAATAATAGGCGAAAAGACTTAATGTCAAAAAGCCATTTAACTTTCGTGACATCAAGTTGACTCTTACCCAATTCTACTGAGTATCTGTAATAGTTTAAAAGTACAATTTAAAAAAATTAAAATAAATGAGTTACTTAATAAAATTTGAAAAAGATTATATATTACATATAATTTTAAGCTACTTAACACCTACTTGATGTCTAATTAAACATTTTGAACTTGTGAATGAAACTACCTATCAATCATTTTTAATCAACAAACACTAACATCAAGGCCAAGAAAACAATATTACGCAAAAAATTTTCAAAGATGATATTATGTATGTTAAGCATAGTTATATTAAACGCTAGACAAAACTTAGACCTAAAGCAGTAACACCGCTTGACTGGTAAGGCTTACAAATATTGCTTTACACGTTTGCCAAGTCACACCACTTTGAAATCATGGTAATAACATTTTATAAACTTATATACTAACTATGAAACAATATATTTTTTTAATGGTATATAACATATAAAAATACCTCATTTAACAATCATATACACATTGGATAAAATACATTTCATACTATTATAAAAACACATTGATAAAACAACTACATAACATAGATCACTACATATACATATTTATCAAAAACTTTTTTAATTTTGAGCAAAATATAAACATATATGCAAACTTAGAACAACTATAAAAAAACATTTATTAGCATCAATCATTTTTAATGTAACAAAAAATACAGACCACAAAAACGCAAAACATTGTTAATAAAAATGAAGTTATGTCAGTCAGTATATATTTATCTAAAAGATAAAACCATTTAAGAACAAATTTTAAAATTTCAAATAAATGTTCAGATACCTTAAAATAATATATATATATATATATATATATATATATATATATATATATATATATATATATATATATATATATATATATATATATATATATATATATATATATATATATATATATATATATATATATATATATATATATATGTATATATATATATATATATATATATATATTAGGGCTGTCCAAAAAAAATTTTTTTTTTCAGATTTGATTGCATAGTTGTTTATTTTGTGCCATTTGACATATTAATTAACTGTGCAAAAAATCTTTCCAATCAGATAATGTTTAGGGGGTGCTCAATGACCATAAAGTTTTACGAAAAATGTGAAAAACATGGAAAAAGTAACAAAGTTCCACAAATTTCTAAAACCCGGTTAATTAGATTTTTCAGATTTGATCAGTTTTAATTATCTCTAAATATTAAATTCTGAATACAAAAACAATCCACATCCACTTTATACTGGTTTATTAGCAGAGAAATTAATGAAATAAAATACTGCAATACGACTAAAGTTCTGCGGTTTTTGTTATATCAGAATTTTTCCAAAATAAAACACTAAGATTTTTGACTCTTTGTCATTGATTAAAATACGAATTATAAACAAAAAAAATTATTGTAAAGGAGTAACAGTTTCTCAAACCGTTATCAACTACTAAGTAGGTCAACTCAAAAACATATGAGCAATTAATATTTAATTATCGTAATGTTATAGTTCGTGCAATGTTAATGCTAGCGAGGACTATAACTCTTCAGAGTACACTTTCTGGCATCTGGCACTCGCTTTCTGTGATCCTCAACCACCTGAATTAACCTCTGCATTTCAGATTCATTCCTTGTAATCGATTCATTAAACATCGACATTAAAGCCACAGATCGTTCGGCAGTATCATTTACTACTTTCAATGAGTATACTAATTCTGCCTAATGTTGATGAAACATCAGGCGAGTCAAGAATTGTATCTAAGATACATTGTCGTTTTGGAGTACTTGCTAAACTTGATACAGCTGACCCTGAAGAACTTGCTTTACTGACTTGTTGTCTGTAATAAACAGGGATTTCTATCTCAAAATCTCTATCAACCATTTTGTCATTATCAACAGCATCGTTATCGTTGTCATCACTATAACTTTCGTCATGTAAAGGTTCAATAACAGGAACTATTGCACTCGCACCAGATTGTCTTTGCTCTTCTTTTAGCTTTCGTTCTCTCTCTGCTTGTTTCCTTGCTTCATTTTTTGCTTCTAATTTTGAAAGTTCTTTGTCCTCTCCAAACATCACCATTTTTCTCTGACATCTCTGATCCAATAAAAATTCTTTATCTTCTTCAATTCTGATTATGTTTTCAGCATCCTTGTGGGCAATGTCAAAAAGTAGGCCAATGGTGTCTGTAAATGATTTCTCTCTTGATTTCTGAGAATCTGACAATCTGGATTTTTTTTTTTTATTAATTTAAATTCCTGGACTAAAGTTTTCAACTTTAAGACTACATTCGGATGAAATGCTGTTGGAATACGGGCTTTATTCCAAATAATAATCAGTTCATCAACAGTTGTTTTAAGACTTTCAGGCACTGACTTTTTGGTTGAATTAAGATGATAAAAAAATGTTTTTAAAACATCAGATGTTAAGGGAAGAACTTTATCTGGAAGATTTGGCTCTGGTTGTCCAATTAAAAAGATTTCGGTTTGAAGTTGTGTAGAGATAGCAACACGAGATGATGCTGCCATTTCAATGATAACTGAAAAATTATGAGAAAATCAAAACTCAATACCATATTATTTAAACTTATCATTCAGTTGATGGTTTATGCAGCTGCAGCAATATATAATAATAATTATTACTAAAGAAATTAAATAAATATTTTCAAATTAGAAATTATTATTATCTGCACTTAATAACAAACAATACACTACCAGACTACCATGCTAGTTTTCTGTAATAGGTTACTAAGGTTAGGTACTATCAAAATATTAATACATTTGTTGTCAAACTGAAATTCCAAATAAAAATAATATTTATACTTGTAAACCTTTTTATTCTGTTTGAACAAATTCTAAATTGAGTTTAATAATAGTATTAAAATCATGAATACAAATTTTAACAAAATGATATAAACACAGTTGTTTTAAACACTAGCAGACATTTTTTAGTCTGGTGCCCTGATGACAGTTAATCTGCTGCATTTTAATTAATCTATATAGCACGCAATCAGACAATATTTCAGTGGAAAAAATCTAACTAACCAGGTTCTAGAAATTTTTGGAACTTTGGAACTTTTTCCACGTTTTTGACGTTTTTCGTAAAACTTTATGGTCATTGAGCACCCCCTAAACAT